TTGATGGGCAGTAAAGCCCTGTAGACAAAGGCCAAATACTGGCCAGTTCAACAGAAACCGGAAGACATTCAGCCCATTTGTACGCCAACCTATTGGACAGCTTCTGTTCAGAACGGGCATACTGGAAAACAGCATTTGATCTGCATGATCAGTGCTGGCAGGCAATGGCTGCGAGACCTGACCAGCATGTTCTGGTGGGGAAGCGGTCCACCTGTCAGAGCCCAATAGCTCAGCAGGGACCCAGCCCGCTGGGTTAAATGAAAAAAGAAAACCGATAGTGTTTACCTAGCATTAGATTCAATCCTGGTATTTACAGCTTCCTAGGACATTGACAAAAAGAGGGAAAAAAAAAAATCACCTGGTCTTACAGACATGACTGTTAAAGACTGTGTATGACTTGATTGGCCAATGACACCTGCAAGAGTAAATTGCTCATAAAATCCCTAGGGGGGTTGCATTGTATTTTTGTGTCATGAGCAAAACAGAAGGATCTTTAATGGGGATACATGAAGAATACAATTCAGCAGGTAAGAATGGAAGTTTTCCTGAAAAGATGAATTTGTTTGGTCAATCTGTATCAGGGTGGGGGAAGATCTTTTAGAAGTTCTAAAGCGTTATAAAAACCCCAAGATGGACCTACCCAAAATGTGGAAATAATTCAGATAAAAAAGGTATTTTCCCGTATAGCTGAAGCTGATTTTTTAAAAATAATAGTTTTTCTTGACGTATAAAAGAATGTGAAGATGACTTTGAAAATACCACACACTGTAGCTATAGGTTCTACAGTTACAACTGAAGCATTGAAATTGTATTTCTTTCATAGTCAATTGATATGCAAGTTGCCTTCTAAATTGATAAGACTTCCTTTCTTAGACACTGCAGTGTAAGGGAAGTCCAACAAGCAGTACTTTCTTTCATATGAGATTTACACTGTCTGCTGCTTTGTCCGGCGGAAACTTGATGATAATTAAATAATACATTATGTCAGGAGCACTTACAATAAAACAGAGCTCTAGTGTGCAAGCATGTGAGCCTGACAACACAATATACAATACATGTGTTATAATATAGTACAGTATGATCATCCCAGACAAGCAAAAGAGTTAAAATAAAGGCTACATTTTTTATTCAAAGACAAGTACTGTCTGTATCTGAAGACTTGCATTGAATAAAAAGCAGAGATGTTCAATGGCCAACACAGTGCAGCTCTTTCTGATGCAGAAAATGCTGTATTAACGAACAAGTGTGTTTGAATACAAAAGGCTAATGCTTTGTAGTACAATAATATAGCAGGACACATGTTTGCTTTACAGCAGTAGAATATCTGCACAATATGTTTTCTTAGACAAATGGTGCTACATGACAAGGTTTCAAATCTGCACTTAAGAGTTAGATTGGAGAGAAAAAAAAAAAAAAGAATATCATACTAAGAAATGGTGGAAAATATTGACTATAAAGGCACTTGTGAGCTACCCAAAACCCAAACAGAGAGGGCGAAAAAAACACCTAGTGCATTATCTAATATTTAGTATTTAGGTATAATAAATTTTTTTTTAATTTAGTATTGGTGCTACTGTGTTTTAGGTTGTATAGGATTAAAAAAAAAACAATGTGCGCTATTGTTTCTGGGCTGTACTGCGGGTACAGACAATATGCATATACTGTATGTGGTGGTCAGAAGCAGCAGAATTTCTTTGGGTTGTTCTTTGGTGGTAGGTCATGATAATCACAAGAAATGTACAGCTACATTTTTTTTCTAAATTATGTATTTTTTTTCTTTTTTTTACAATTTTGTCCTAGTTTTACTTTGATAATAAGGCTAAAATCCATTATTGTATTGATTACTATTTGTAAAAAAAAAAAGCAAAAAAAACAAAAAAAAAAAAAAAAAAAAAAAAAAAAAAAAAAAAAAAAAAAAGGTATAATGCACCTAAATGCACTAAGTAGTTGTGATGATGTGTACAATTTTACTAGCACATGTCAAAGTTGCCAAACCGTGTTCATGGATTAAGATTTTTTTTTCACTTTCATCATGAAGGAGTTAAAGTGGTGGTAAACGGTCTCTGTTGCGATGAGGCTTAGGTAAGTATTGAGGGGGCTGGGGGAGCTGCTGCACACAGGTTTTTTTACCTTCATGAATATAATGCATGAAGGTAAAAAACCTTCAGCCTTTACAGCCATTAAGTATTTAATGCAAAAAAGCATTTTATGATAAAAAAAAAAAAAAATTAGCATTTGATAATGGGGTGGGAGGAAAGAGTCACGAAGCAAACTACAAGCATGTTAAACTTCAACTTTATAGCCCGACCAAAGTTTAAATCAGGTAAATATATTCCAGGTGTATCAAAACAAGAAGGTGTCTAAATTCTCACGGTTTGTTCTCTTTAGAAAGCAGTTGCATACAGAGTATAGTGCAAAAAAGAGTGGGGGGAAAAAAAGCAGTGTTACCACCAGAGGACAGGACTACAAACATTTTTCTCCTCTTTTCAAAGACATCGAGGGAAGTCATTTTGCAATCCTCAAATATAGTTGGAAAAAATACAACAGAAAGCAGTCAGCACAGGCATTGTTCTGGATAAAGTGATATTCAACCATGAGTTTTTTTTTGTAAGCACTTTTAGTAGTTGATTTAAACACGGATATAAACTTTTTCACCTTTAATCCTTGTCTATGTTCTAATTTAAGCTGGTGTCACGATGGCTATCCCAGGTATCCTGTTTCAGGTGGCTTATTTCTCTTATAGCATCCTATGGATCCATCCTTGGATGTAGGGACTAGAATTGTGTCGCCCTACACTGTGTGCATCAGTGGAAACAGGTACTCCCCTCCTAGTCCACCCATCCAGCAGCACTGAAAGTTGTAAAGTGCAAGTGCTGGGGTAATAATTTTGCAAATAGTTTACTAAGGAATGTATATGTTATTGTGCTCAATGTGCATCTCAAACTAAAAACACAGAGTTTACTACTACTTAAACATACTCTGAGCAAAATGCATCTTATATAGTCATTCAGGAAAACTGCTATTCATTGAAAGTTTCACAACAAGACCTTTTTCTTCTCACAACTTCAAGCCATCTTTCTTCTCTTTTCCTTAAAGACACAGTATTACCTTGTCCATGAAGGGTACAGTGACATTGTCTCTACCAAGGGCCATGGTAATGGTTCCACGTTTTGACGTTAGGTCTTGCCTTAGGTCAAAGCTGTAATTTAGTAATGTACTTGAAACCATTTAATTGAGTACCAGGGGCGGACTGACAACTCATGGGGCCCCCGGGCAGTAGGGGATCATGGGGCCACTGTGTCCTTGCCCAAACTCAAAAAAGCCTATGAAAAATGTACCAGGGGCATCTCATGCGGCCCCCTACTGACCCCGGGCCCTCAGGCAGTGCCCGAGTTTCCAAATGGTCAGTCCACCCCTGTTGAGTACCTTACATTTTGGAAATGTATGTCTTATTTATATTAACAATAAAGACTACAACAATGGTTGGAAGAATATGATTCTTTTAGGGATAGTAGAAAATTACTCTGGTTGGTGTTTATGCCTTATTAGTTGTGAGCATTTTTTGATTCTACAAATTAATTCCTGAAGCCAAATCCTACACATCCACCAGCTCGCTGTCTAAGCAAACTGCCAAATGAAGGAGGGGAGAGTGGTGAGGGAGTCTTGGTTAAATCTGGAATGGTTCCAACTTGGTGTAAGTTTTGGAAAGAGAAGACAACTGGATCACAAGAGACATGAAAGAGGCCATCCACATCAAACTGAAACAACCATCATTAAACAGTTGTGGAGGCCTTTGACACTAGCTGTCTTTCAGGTTGGTGCTACCTGTTTGGATATTTTCCTGACTTCTATTAGGACAGAAGAAGTGGCATGGACAAACTATGAAATGTCTTCAGCATTACTGAACAAGTCCAGTTAAATGTGACTAAGAATGATTAGATGGCTCAGACTTGAAGCGAAGTGAAGTTTTTCTAAAACACAAAGCCAAATAGATGCACAGTAGTATTTTTCCAATAATAAGGGAAATAAAGGGTACCTTGTATAGTCTATATCAGGTAGGGCTATAACGTTTACATTTTAAATGGTGTGGACAGCTTTGCTTTAAAAAGCTGCACATCCAAGATTTAGATTTGATTAATATGAATCAGCTTATGACTCTTCAAAAGGACAAAGCAAATATCCTGGGAAACGCAAATACATACATGAGCCTCTAGCAGTGTGGAACTATCTTATATATTTATGATGTAGATGTAAGATTTATTAAGTCTTTCCCTCTTTTCCTTCAAACTTGTGTAGTAAACAACATACCAATTTAAAATGATCTGATGCAGAAAGGCCCAAAGGAAAAAATAAACTGAAGTAAAGTTATTGCAAGGTTAATACAGAGTTCTATGTCCTGGGGTTTTATTGACATCGCGGAAAATCACTTTGTAGCCGAAGACCTGAGTCACATGAGCTGAAGCAGAACATAACACTCCCAGAATTACTCTGATTACCAGGATAGGAATACAAAACAAGGTAAGGAGATCGGAGAAACGATGATACAAAGCACACAGAGAGAAGTTAGTGCACCAAAAATACATCTGAACAATTGAACTTGACAACAGAGCCATCATCTTAGCTCTAAACCATATGATATCAAATCATAATTAATAATCAGAGTGTTCGAATTGCAGATAATATAGCAATTGGGAGCAATCAATTATGTTATTACAATGCCTTTCCCAACACACTTGGAAGTGTTGGATATGTGCAGCAGAGTTTTATCAAATGGGCTGGTGGAAAGGTAAATATATGGCATCTTCATTTACAGCAGCGGTTCTCAACCTGGGGGTCGCGACCCCTTTGGGGGGGTCGAACGACCATTTCACAGGGGTCGCCTAAGACCATCGGAAAACACATATTTCCGATGGTCTTAGGAACCGAGACACCGCACCGCTGCCCCTGTCACCTAGCCACACCTCCGGGATCACTCAACAGCTCCGCCTCCTCGCCGCTGATTGGCCACCGGAACTGTAGCTCAGGAGAGGCACACAGGCAGCCAATCACCGGCGAGGAGGTGGAGCTTGGAGAGGAGGAGCCGAGCGGCAGCGCGCGTAGATCAAAGAAGATTCGAGGGAGCTGCCGGAGCAAGTGAAGAGGAGAGCGGCCAGAGAAGGAAGACAGCTGACAGGTAAGTGCAAATTTTGCTGCTGCAGCCAGGTATGCTGGCTGTAGATGGGAGAGGGAGAGAGAGAGAGCAAACCCAGGCTGGAGCAGGGGTCAGCAAGGTAAGTATCATTGGTGTCAGTGGGAGGAATAGTGCCCCATCATTTGTGTCACTAATACCAATGATGGGGCACTATTCCTCCCACTGACACCAATGATGGGGCACTATTCCTCCCCCCACTGACACCAACGATGGAGAACTATTCCTCCCCCACTGACACCAACGATGGAGAACTATTCCTCCCCCCACTGACACCAACGATGGGGCACTATTCCTCCCCCCACTGACACCAACGATGGAGAACTATTCCTCCCCCCACTGACACCAACGATGGAGCACTATTCCTCCCCCCACTGACACCAACGATGGGGCACTATTCCTCCCTCCACTGACACCAAGAATGGGGCACTATTCCTCCCCCCACCGACACCAACGATGGGACACTATTTCCCCCCCCCCCCACTGACACCAATGATGGGGCACTATTCCTCCCACTGGCACCAATGATGGGGCACTATTCCTCCCACTGAAGCCAATGATGGGGCACTATTCCTCCCAATGATACCAATGATGGGGCACTATTCCTCCCACTGACACCAATGATGGGGCACTATTCCTCCCCCCACTGACACCAAGAATGGGGCACTATTCCTCCCCCCACTGACACCAAGAATGGGGCACTTTCCCCCCCCGACACCAAGAATGGGGCACTATTCCTCCCCCCACCGACACCAACAATGGGACACTATTTCCCCCCCCCCCCTGACACCAATGATGGGGGCACTATTACCCCCCCTGACCCCAATGATGGGGCACTATTCCCCCTCCACCCCACTATTCCTCCCACTGACACCAATGATGGGGCACTATTCCTCCCACTGGCACCAATGATGGGGCACTATTCCTCCCACTGACACCAATGATGGGGCACTATTCCTCCCACTGACACCAATGATGGGGCACTATTCCTCCCACTGACACCAATGATGGGGCACTATTCCTCCCACTGACACCAATGATGGGGCACTATTCCTCCCACTGACACCAATGATGGGGCACTATTCCTCCCACTGACACCAATGATGGGGCACTATTCCTCCCACTGACACCAATGATGGAGCACTATTCCTCCTCACCTGACACCAATGATGGGGCACTATTCCCCCCCCCACGACACCAATGATGGGGCACTATTCCCCCCACTGACACCAATGATGGGGCACTATTCCTCCCACTGACACCAACGATGGGGCACTATTCCTCCCACTGATACCAACGATGGGGCACTATTCCTCCCACTGATACCAACGATGGGGCACTATTCCTCCCACTGACACCAACGATGGGGCACTATTCCTCCCACTGACACCAACGATGGGGCACTATTCCTCCCACTGACACCAACGATGGGGCACTATTCCTCCCACTGACACCAACGATGGGGCACAATTCCTCCCACTGACACCAACGATGGGGCACTATTCCTCCCACTGACACCAACGATGGGGCACTATTCCTCCCACTGACACCAATGATGGGACACTATTCCTCCCACTGATACCAACGATGGGACACTATTCATCCCACTGACATCAATGATGGGGCACTAGTCCTCCCACTGCAAAATTACAGTTATGGAGTAGCAACGAAAATAATTTTATGGTTGGGGGTCACCACAACATGAGGAACTGTATTAAGGGGTCGCGGCATTAGAAAGGTCGAGAACCACCAGGCTGACTTTTTTTTTTTTTGCGCTCTTTATTTATATATTTTCAGTACAAAAGCCAAGAAAAAAAACAAGGAGGCAATAAGTTATTAGGAATTAGTAGATCGAGTAGAACAAAACATTTCATGTGACACAATTGGAGGCAAACAGGATATCATCTGCAAAAAAAGGCCTCATCTAAGTCCAAAGAACACTGTAAAGAAAGCAGGAGGCCAGACGTACAGTGGGTATAGAAAATAATCAATTTTTTTTGTTGCTTTGCAACCTGAAATAAAGACAGTTTTTGTTTTTTACCCAACACAGAGAAGAAAAAAGTCATGCGTACCTTCAGCCAATGCAGGCAGAAGCGGTAAATGTTGCAGAATCACAGACGGTGTCTGTAAAGTCAGAGGTGGTGCCTCTGTCCGCTGGGGTCAAAGTTCACCAAGTACAAAGCTCACCTGTTCATATGCAGCAATCTCAACACTCTTCAGCACTGGTTAACCATGTTCATAACTCCATTAATCAGGTTGGTCATGTGACAGAAGTGTGAGTCAACCATCATTCAACACGTTTACCAGCCTCTGTTGCTCAAGAGCAATCTCCAGTAACTCTGTGCAACATATAACATCCAAGTGAAAGATAAAAAAACACCATGTCAGAAAAAAATTAAAAATTTATAAACAGAATTCTTTCATTTTGATCTGCAGTGACAGAGTCACTTTCACTAAGAATTAGGGGCATTACCTGACTGCCTTGCAATGTGTCACGGGGTGTGTAAATTATAGGACTGGCTGAACAGAACTTTAAAGTGGTTTTAAATGCTTAAGGTTTTTTCTCTTCATGCATTCTATGTGTGAAGGAAAAAAAAAAAAAAAAAACATTCTGTGTACTACGGGGGCAGGGCCAAGCCATGGCTCTGTGTGTCTTATAGACACACAGAGCAGGGCTCAGGAGCGAGCATGAAGCAATGGCCCCACAGCAAGTGGCTTGCTATTGAGAGCACTGCTCAAGGGGGAGGAGACAGGAGCGCCTGAAGGGAACCGGAGAAGAAGAGGATCGGGGCTTCTCTGTGCAAAACTATTGCACAGAGCAGGTAAGCAAGTATGACATGCATGTGATTAAAAAAAAAAAAAAAAAAAAAAAAAACAAGACGGAACCTTTAATATCACTTTAAATCCTCTTATTTACATGTATGCAGTCCGAAATACTTGGAGCTATGCTTTAAGACCCCTCACTTCTGACATTACAGGTGCTCCTTAAATTGTGATGAACTTGATACCCTAGCACCTAGGGAAAATGACATGCTAGCAAGGTTTTTAATTTATGAAAAAAAAGCTCATAAACAAAAAGGTCTTTATTGCTATTCTATGTATTTCTGACAATTAAGATGTATGTATACCATTTTTTGGTAATAGCTTACTGAAGTATCAGGAAGTCCACATTACAGAGAATTGCAGACTAAATCAGGAGGTCACATTCTACAGTATACTCTCACAAAAGTTCACATCCTACTTTGTTTAATGCATTAGGAGCTATAATTCCATACTTGACTTCAGCTGCTAGGCAACAGATCAAATTTTCTTTGATGTCAGATATCCTAGCTGGCAGCTCTTTGCTAGTAAATCATGGATAGGAGATTGGGATATTCTGGGATTATGTACATTTACAGATGTAAGATTCAAACATACAGTGCCTTCCAAATGCTGCAGAACAGTAAAGTTACAATTTTGCAGGAACAAAAAAAATAAAATGCAAATGGCTATGGTAATGGTTTAAACTGTAATTATCATAATGTCATTAAAAAAATATACACACACACATATATATATATATACACACACACACACACACACACACACACACACACACAATGAAAGTAGCAATGTTCTACGCTTAAAAAAAAAAAATTATATACTCTTAGATAGCTCCAAGTAGCAGGGCCCTCCTAACCCTCTTGTATTGCACTGTATTGTTGCTGTATTGTCTCCCGTTATATTGTAATAATAATAATAATAATAATAATATGTAATAAATAATAATAAATATATAATATATATTATATATATATACACACACACACACACACATACATACATATACACACATACACACACACACAATGTTTTAATTTGTATTGCAAAAGCACAATGGATGGCATAAACATTTTAGTGGATAATATGAATGTGGTCAAACAGTAATAATGGGAGCACGAATGAAAAAATAACAAAGAGAGAATTGCTACAATTCTTCTTTTGATACAGTATATCCGAGACAGTCAAAAGTGCTGGAGTTGTATTTAAATAGCTCATTGGGAGAATCTAGCAATATACCTTTGGCTAAAACCTTGTTACCCATATCCATGCTTTATTTTTATAGCATGTAAAGTGTTTATTGAATCTGTTGTAAAATACCTGGTGATCCTGCCAGTTTTCCCTGGTTCCTTTATCAAACCAACCACGCCAAGAACAAAGGCAGATCCATGCTAGAATGGATCAGTTTACACCTCAGGATCTCTGCTAGGAGATACAGGATGCCATGCTGATGCACGATACTCCTGTATTTCTTTATAGTCAGTTTTGCAGACATGATCCTCACCCAGTCCTGCTGTGCTGCAGTTTTTTTTCCAAGTATGCATCTACCTTCTAGAATGCATGCACACAGACAGGGAACATACGTCATGTCACACATTGCCCACCAACTTGCTTTACAGACATTCCCTGTTATAGGGAAGGAGGAGAAAAAAGGAGGCTGTGCAGTTATTTAAACACAGGATAAAAAGAAAGAAAAAGAAAGAAGAAAAAGCAGAAAGAAGGAGAAGGAGGGAGGAGGAAGGAGAAGAGGGAGGAAGGAAGGAGGAGAAGAAGAAAGAAGGAAGAAGAAGAAAAAAGAAGGAAGCAGAAGAAGAAGAAAAAAAGTAGAAGAAGAAAAAGAAGAAGAAGAAGAAAAAGAAGAAGAAAGAAGAAGTAGAAGTAGAGAAGAGAAAGAAGAAAGAAAAAAGGGTACATATGAATTAATTTGGGTAAACATGAAAAAGAGTGGAAGAGAAGGGCGTGTGGGGATGTATACAGTGGTGTTGACTATCACAGGATGGAGGCAGATGCTCTGGATTCTCAGATGTAGGAGAGGAGAAAAAGCCACAGGGATTTCAAATCCCACAGCTTTCTCTCCTCTCCTACAGCTAAGAATCTGGAGCATTGCTGTGGCTTTCTCTCCTCACCTACAGCCGAGAGTCTGGAACATCTGCCTCCATCCTCTGATAGCCGACACCAAGGTATACATCCTCACACACCCTCCTCACCCAACTCTCCGCTCAGCATGGGATTTATGCAGGGAGGTGTTCCGCACCGTTCCTGTGTGAACTCAG